CCTGTGGACTGAATCACTGTATGTCTGATGTTTAATTGTGCATGCATCTAAACGTAAGTGCCTTGAGATCTGTGTCATATTATGTGGAGCTAAGTTTTGTTGGGTATTGTGTATAATTACCTTGTGTTGCGCTTGTTAGCTAGATCACGCTCATGCTAGCGTTAGCACTACCGTTAACATTTTTAATTGGAATGCATGCACATTTTATCATGACTGTTAGCGATTAGCTGTTTATTAGCATTGCTCATTTTTGGTGCTAGGCTATTTTCTATTATATATATATATATATATATATATATATATATATATATATATATATATCACACATGCTCATTGTAATTATATTATGTATACATTTCAACATTACTGTAATGTTTATTTGAGCACATTTGCCTGAGTTTCATGTGTACAAGTCCAACAGGCTGTTTAGTCTTTTGCCCAGTGGTGGAAAAAGTACCCAATGGTCATACTTGAATAAAAGTAAAGATACCTTAATAGAAAATGACTCAAGTAAAAGTGAAAGTCACCCAGTAAAATCCTACTTGAGTAAAAGTATTAAGCAAACCAGACGGCACCGTTTTCTTGTTTTTTAAATGTACGGATAGCCAGGGGCACACTCCAACACTCAGACATAATTTACAAACAAAGCATTTGCGTTTGGTGACTCCGCCAGATCAGAGCCAGTAGGTATGACAAGGGATGTTCTCTGCTAAGCATTCAAAATGTAACGAGTACTTTTGGGTGTCAGAGAAAATGTATGGAGTACATTCTTTTCTTTAGGAATACAGTGGAGTAAAAGTAAAAGTTGTCAGAAATATAAATAGTAAAGTACAGATACCCAAAAACACTACTTAAGTAGTACTTGAAAGTATTTTTACTAAAGTATTTTGCACCACTGCTATTGCCATGTGACTAAGCCTTATGCCTGCTGTAGTGTATAGCCCTTGCTGTTGTATACTTACCTGTGCTAGCTTATACAGCCATGTCATTCATATTACTGTAGTGCTATAGCCTATATTTTCTTTCTCCTCTTCCCTTTCAGAACCATAGTTAATGTCAGTTCTCACTGGACATGATTCTCAGTTATCTGAACCATGAGTGGTCAGATGTGTGTGTGAATGTGGACATCTTCTTCAATTAAACTCCCCTGAACCTGGACATCCGCCTTATCCTTGTTCTGACCGGATATTCTGTAGTGGTTGCTACCGGCCTTAAGCCAGCAGCTAAGGTTTCTTATTATATTCATGGTCCTTCGATTCTCTACAACCCTACCCCTATTTTTCACACTGCTACACCTGGCTATCAGCGGAGCCTTGTCTGGCAGCGAAACAGTTAATTCAGCCTAATTTACTGCCTTTTAGAAAAACATAGCTGATATGGCTGCCGTGCTTAAACAAATGTGGTTTCTACTGATAATTGAGATGTACAAACTATGGCATAAGGGTACGACGAGCGGATAAGAGGCAATTCGTAATTTTGATTAAGACATTAATGAGCGACCTAGGACGGACGTAGTCAATATAATTATTTGTTCAGCACTTTTGAATGTACAGCAACAGAATTCAGAACATGGGCCGTTCTTACAGTATTCTCCCTGTACACCAAGTCAGAACCGTAGGATAAATAAAGGGGGCATATAAGCAGACAGTGAAAGCTCTTACAATATTCGATGATGACATTTCTCTAAAACAGGCTATAGGCTACATGTGCACCACCAGGTCAGAACAGTAGGGGAAAAGGGTGAGGCACATGGGCTCCTAACAGCTTACTACACAACATACACTTACTATTACTTTCTTAGCTACGGTATACATATCTCCCTGGCATATTACATCATTTATGCAGCAGCATACAATACATTTTTGGACTCACCTTGTTGTGCTGTGCTCACTTGAACAGGATGGTGGCGCGGTGGTTCTTCGTGGGTAAATTTTGTCATCAAACTTTGTCATCAAAATCTGTCATTCTCTGGATTTATGGTGCTTTCAAGACAACTGGGAACTCGGAAAAAAACAAGGTCCAATCATGATGTTAGTGATCTTCAGGTCGGAGCTCTAGAAAGATGACCGTTCGAAACATATCTGTGATTTCCCAGTTCCGAGTTTCCAGTTGTTTTGAACGCGGCAGAAGTCATGCTGGATTGACAGGATGGCCAATGTTGAATGTTTATCCTTTTAAGCTTGGAAAAGAGACCCTTAAACCCAGACTTGGACCCACTCCACTGAATAGCAGGCTCGTGATTGCTTTGCAACGCTTGCATTTAGCCACTGATTCCTTCCAAACCACTCATTGTTGAATTTGCGATTTCCAACTTGTTGTGTAATTTTTATGTCCAATGGCCGATGAGCACCGATACGTTTTATCTATAATTTCTCTTCATCATTTCTCTTCATATGACAAGGATTGAAAAGGATTTGCCAGTAGATTGTCGACTTGATTCATGATGATGACTGCTAGCTTGCTAGCTAAGATTCTGAAGGTATGATGTTGACATGACCAGTCCAATCAAAGCTACGGTAGATATAACGTGATTTGACATAATTTCATATGTGGACAATGACCTTGAGCCTTATTGGATGGGCACTTCTAATGTAACTCTATGGCAGCACCCAAGGGGCTTGAATTTTCGAGCTCTCCATGTAGATATTGCGGCGACGTAGTGTCCCCATGAGTGACCGAACACTGAGCCAATCACGGCGCAACTAGAGAACATAACCAACCCCTACGCTCTGTATTTTCTGTTGGCTGCCCCACCACCACAGAAAGCACTGAGCTAGGCTGAAACACCTGCATTTTGGAGCTGCCTTACTCAAGAAAGCAAAAAAGAGACCATGTTTGTATGCGTCTTTATTAACTCAATTATTATTATTTTTATACATTGTTTGCAAACTGATATGTGACGCATGTTAATGCCAAAATAACATGCAAAACATGTTTTTGCTAAACAGGTGGGACTCAAAACAGGTGGGGCACACTGAAGGCCTATAGGTTCACCACTGTGCAAACATGTCTATAATAGATAAAGGCTGTTAAGATAATGTTTCAAGAAAGGAGTGTATATATTTGGCGAAGCCGTTTTATGCACTGACTGAATGGAAGCTGATTATTATGAGGTTTTTTACTCCGCTGGTCTCGGGAAGAAATGACGAGTCCTCACTGTCCGAGACCGAGTCAAGACCGAGTACGAATGTAGCCGACACCAAGATAAGACCAATATTTGGTCACGAGACCGGTCTCGAGTAGTACACCACTGGTAGAAGCTACAGTGCCTTGCAAAAGTATTCAGCCCCCTTGGCGTTTTTCCTATTTGTTGCATTACAACCTGTAATTTAAATGGATTTTTATTTGGATTTCATGTAATGGACATACACAAAATAGTCCACATTTGTGAAGTGAAATGAAGAAAATAACTTGTTTCAAAAAATTCTAAAAAATAAATAACGGAAAAGAGGTGCGTGCATATGTATTCACCCCCTTTGCTATGAAGCCCCTAAATAAGATCTGGTGCAACCAATTACCTTCAGAAGTCACATAATTAGTTAAATAAAGTCCACCTGTGTGCAATCTAAGTGTCACATGATCAGTCACATGATCTCAGTATATATACACCTGTTCTGAAAGGCCTCAGAGTCTGCAACACCACTAAGCAAGGGGCACCACCAAGCAAGTGGCACCATGAAGATCAAGGAGCTCTCCAAACAGGTCAGGGACAAAGTTGTGGAGAAGTACAGATCAGGGTTGGGTTATAAAAAATATCAACAACTTTGAACATCCCACGGAGCACCATTAAATCCATTATTAAAAAATGGAAAGAATATGGCACCACAACAAACCTGCCAAGAGAGGGCCGCCCACCAAAACTCACGGACCAGGAACGGAGGGCATTAATCAGAGAGGCAACAAAGAGACCAAAGATAACCCTGAAGGAGCTGCAAAGCTCCACAGCGGAGATTGGAGTATCTGTCCATAGGACCACTTTAAGCCATACACTCCACAGAGCTGGGCTTTACGGACGAGTGGCCAGAAAAAAGCCATTGCTTAAAGAAAAAAATAAGCAAACACGTTTGGTGTTCGCCAAAAGGCATGTGGGAGACTCCCCAAACATATGGAAGAAGGTACTCTGAGACTAAAATTGAGCTTTTTGGCCATCAAGGAAAACGCTATGTCTGGCGCAAACCCAACACCTCTCATCACCCCGAGAACACCATCCCCACAGTGAAGCATGGTGGTGGCAGCATCATGCTGTGGGGATGTTTTTCATCGGCAGGGACTGGGAAACTGGTCAGAATTGAAGGAATGATGGATGGTGCTAAATACAGGGACATTCTTGAGGGAAACCTGTTTCAGTCTTCCAGAGATTTAAGACTGGGACGGAGGTTCACCTTCCAGCAGGACAATGACCCTAAGCATACTGCTAAAGCAACATTTGAGTGGTTTAAGGGGAAACATTTAAATGTCTTGGAATGGCCTAGTCAAAGCCCAGACCTCAATCCAATTGAGAATTTGTGGTATGACCTAAAGATTGCTGTACACCAGCAGAACCCATTCAACTTGAAGGAGCTGGAGCAGTTTTGCCTTGAAGAATGGGCAAAAATCCCAGTGGCTAGATGTGCCAGGTTTATAGAGACATACCCCAAGAGACTTGCAGCTGCAAAAGTTGGATCTACAAAGTATTGACTTTGGGGGGGTGAATAGTTATGCACGCTCAAGTTTTATTATTTTTTTATTTATTATTTCTTACTTATTCTTATTTATTATTTCTTGTTTGTTTCACGATCAAAAATATTTTTGCATCTTCAAAGTGGTAGGCATGTTGTGTAAATCAAATGATACAAACCCCCAAAAAATCAATTTTAATTCCAGGTTGTAAGGCAACAAAATAGGAAAAATGCCAAGGGGGGTAAATACTTTCGCAAGCCACTGTAAGCACATAAGAACTCTTAATTGAGTAGACGCTAAGCATGTAAGAACAATGCATGTTAATAAGTAGCGTCCACTCTTGAAAAGATTGGATCGGTATTAACAAATGGTAATGACTGCATCTTGCCCTCTGATAGGCTAAGGGGATCCTCCTTACAGATCGGCCCACGAGACTAGGGGTTTAGGATGATTGGGCTTTAAACAGGCCATCTTGTTTAACTGGCCATATTCACAGGTGTTTCCTTAGCTTCCTCCACCACTGTGATCTCCTCAACACATTTGGACGGCAGGGCCTGAGGGACAAACTGTACAAACCAAAGGGAGAACATTGTTTTTTTAATTCCACGAGAGGGGTTATGATATGGTAGTTTTCTTGTGAATCACCAAGTAAACATAACAAATGTTTCTTAGCTGTGTGTGGGTTTGTTTATTCACCTGAAACTGGTCGTCTCTCTCCAAGAGGTGTTTAATCTTCAGTGGGGGACCAGGGATGTGGGGAAACAAACGCTCCCTGAAACACGCACACACACACACACTCACCACAGTCAGTCAGCAGCCAGGGAATCACACCACTAATACCATAGCCACAGCCGGCCCGCTCATTAGGCAGGATCAGGTGGCTGTCTATGGCGGCAGATTGACGAGGGTAGCATTTTCTGAGCTAAACTGAACAAGACGCACCTCCAACAACAACATTTAAAACCTCACATAATTCTGCCGAAAAACCGTGACAATTTCTCTCAACTAGTGGCATATGGGCGTTTTAGGTGAGAGCTGATGCCGCCCTGTGATAAGCAGTGCCCACTTTGGCAAAGGCAGGGGCCGCAAAATATTTAGCTTGTCCATTCCCAGTGTGCCTCTCCAGGGTGCTGTTAGAGAGACGAATCGGTGCGGCGCTCCACCAACGTTCCGTCAAAAAACTAATCTAACATAAATCATGTAGCAGATATAGGATATGGTAGAAAGAGTATGTGGCCTTTTCTGTAGCCTACAGGTTGGAGATAAAATGTATGACAATGGAATGAGACAGACACTTTACATCATGCAGGTTTCTCCCATAAAATAACCTAACCTAAATGGCACTCAATCAAATACAAAATGTGCTGTCATGTTAACAAACAACATATCCTTAAAACAGGACAGGTCAAAGTAAAATGGACAGTATGGAATGGACAATCACAACTGTTGTCCAGGAGTTTCACCCCATTGTCATGATCAGTGGTTTCAAGTTTGTAGGCGTACATTTTTGACAAGCTGATCATAGCGAAAAAGAAAATACTTCTGCATTTCCCGCTGTGTAAACACATTGCAAATAGGCTCACGATAACTCCTGATAAAGTTGGGTAGCTGATTTCAGAGCTTAAATAGCCAAATTGATTAGTCACAGGAATCAGGACTAATAAAGCCAATGTAACGGCCTGTTTTACAAACGGTGGTCGTACCACATGGATGGCATTCATAAAATTCCATTGGGGCTGACATGGTAGGCTACACCCCAGTAAGCACGAGCCGACATCTTTTGGACGTCTTTTTTTGGTGTTTTACAAACGGTAGGCTTACCACATAGATGGGAATTCATACAATTACATTTCAGGCAAAACTGTAGGCTACACCTCAGTAAGCACGGACCGACGCCGACGTCTTTTGGATGTCTTTTTTTGGTGCAGTCCGGACCGGCTTTGATTTCCACATCAACGGACATTGATTTTTGGTCCGGTCCGGACCAAATCTGAACCAATCATAGACGTCTATGTTTGGTTCAGATTTGGTCCGGTCTGGACCCGCCTTGATTTTGCCCAAACATAGACGTCTAGAAATTACTTATTTTCAACTTTCATTCAGAACCAAAAATGAGCCTGATTTCAACATCCGGAAAGTAGATATTTTCAACGTCTGCAAAATACGTATTTTCAATATCTGGAAAGTAAGTATTTTCAACTTTCATTCAGAACCAAAAATGAACCTGATTTCAACATCCGGAAAATACGTATTTTTCAACGTCGGAAAATATGCAAGTCCTGGAAAATAACTTTTCACCTTTCATACAGAACCTAAATTGAACCTAACTTCAACGTCTTGAGAATTCATATTTTTTTTAAACATAATTTCAACGTCATTTTGTTTACTAGGACTATTCTAGTTTGGTTTGTTTTTTGGGGGGGGGGGGGGGGGTACTGTGCCAGTTACTGTGCAATCACTGACGCATTTATGTTTTCCCCTTTCTCTTGTTTTCTAAGAATAAAGGGTGTTTTCCACCTCTTGTTTGAAGGAAGTTCCGTTTCAGAGTGAAAATGTGTGTGGTCTGTGGTCAGAGGCTAAAATCAAACACATCATCACTTATTCCATTAATACTTATTCTATTATTCCATTAATACTTATTCTATTATTCCATTAATACTTATTCTATTATTCCATTAATCTTTCTCTTTGTTTATCTTTCTCTGTCTCTCTGTCTGTCTGTCTGTTTCTCTGTCTGTCTGTCTGTCTGTTTCTCTCTGTCTGTCTGTCTGTGTGTCTGTCTGTCTGTTTCTATCTCTCTGTCTGTCTGTTTCTCTGTCTGTCTGTTTCTCTGTCTGTCTGTTTCTCTGTCTGTCTGTCTGTTTCTCTGTCTGTCTGTCTGTTTCTCTGTCTGTCTGTCTATTTCTGTCTGTCTGTCTGTTTCTGTCTGTCTGTCTGTCTGTCTGTTTCTCTCTCTGTCTGTCTGTTTCTCTGTCTGTCTGTTTCTCTTTCTGTCTGTTTCTCTGTTTCTCTGTCTCTCTGTCTCTCTGTGTGTGTGTCTGTCTGTCTGTCTGTTTCTCTGTCTGTCTGTCTGTCTGTCTGTTTCTCTCTCTTTCTTTTGTAAATGTATCTGTGTTTCTCTCTGTTCTCTCCCCTCTCCATTTTCTTCTCTCTCAATCTCTCACTTGCTCTCTCCATTTCTGTATCTCTCTCGCTCCTTCTGTCAATTTCTCTGTGTTTCACCTTTGGTTTCTCCCTTTCTCTCTATCTCTCCATTTCCTGCTCTCTTCATCACTCCATTTCTCTCTCCCTCCCTCTCAATACAATTCCATGAACACAACAGAATACCTCTGGAGTCGAATCAGCAGCAGCAGAGACAGGAGGATCATGGGTATTCCCAGTGCGATGGCAGCGACCACCAGAGAGTTCAGCTGATTGGGTGATTCAAACGGTGCCACCTCTGACACACACACACACACACACAATGGTGTAAACATAACAAGCAGATGGAAAAAGACAGTGAAATGTGTTTTTTAGCACTGTAAAGCATTCAGTGGTTCTCACATATTTTATTATTCTGAGATTTTCTATGTTACTGTCGTTGTTTTTGCTTCAGTTAGCGCTTTGAGTTTGACAAGCAGATATGATTATAATACTGATGACTGCAGACTCACTGATGGTGTTGCTCCAGCTGCTCCAGTGTTGAGATCCTCTGCAGTAACTACTCTTCCTCACCCTCATCCTTACATCGTATGAATGTGTGGGGTCTGCGTTGGTCTCACTGTATGTCAGTCGCTCCTCAAGGTCGCTCACCTTACAATACACATATACAGACAGCCTCTTAACAAACGGGGCCACCGCTAAACACACGCACGCACACGACTGTCTCTCTCTCTCTTTCTCTGGTATAATTACCTGGCCATTGATCTGTAGCTGGTAGTGGAAGCAGCTGGGTTTGGTGCTAAACCGGCTGGACGGGAGACCCCACTGCACCAGTAGAACCCCTTCTCTGATCCAGGCAGTGATGTTGGTTGGCGGGCGCAGCACGTCAATATCTCTGGTGTGGTATTTATGGGTGTAGATGCACCACACGTCAGGGCGTGACACGTTGAAAGTCAGGATCACCGAGGTGACGCTGTTGTCCACACTGCCTTGGCACCCAGCAGACACATGTCCAACCACACGGTCAGCGTTACCAGTCCCTCCCTGGGCTCCTTGGCCTCCTATGGCCTCAGTGACACAATCCACATTGGAGATCCTCTCAGTTTCCCTACACACACTGATATTCAAACATATACACACACGCACGCACACACACACACACACACACACACACACAGAGCCACGCTTAAAGCAAACACCTTGATTGAGGGTGGGTGTCATGTACTAAAATGAGATTAGCATTTTATTATACAGTAAAATGATAATTACACAGTAATAGCCTATGAATTGACAAGATTGTTCTATTGCAATTGTTAAGCCTTTTAGTTTCTGTGTGTCTTGGATATTGTTGGAGGGGCTTACAAGACGGAGGCATAGGATTGGCGGTCGTTAGGGAGACCATGGAATTTCCAGGAGCAGTTGAGTTGATTGGTTGGGTAGATAAGACAGTGGGCCAGTCCACCTAAAGTTACAGACAGGATTCAGTGAGTGTGCATGCGTGTGCACCTGGGTGAGTGTGTCTTTGTGTCTTTGTGCATGTGTCTTACTGTCTGATAGGTTGCACGTTTTTTCGTAGTCCTCTCTCTGAACCAGCTGCATAACACCATAAGAATCCCTCTGGTACACCATCTGAGAGAAAGAAAGAGAGAGAGAATCTGTAAATCTGTCAATCTGAGTTGGTTTAAGACAGACCCATCATCACAGAGACCTCAGATCATCATAATGATCTCACCTCTCCGTCCATATCGTCATCCTGACAGGGGTCTGAGGGAAGTGGTACCAGGCTCTGGTCTGGTTCTAGGCTCTGGTGTGTGTGTGTATCAGGGCTTTGGGTCTCGACTGGCCCTAAAGTAACTGTCTCAGCCATCGGGTCTGTGCTCCTAGAGACACTTGGCTCAGTCGTTTGGGATACTGTCAGACATAAACACAGAAATAGATCTCAGTAAGGCACACATACACTGCAGGGTAAACACATTTAAGATAGATACTGATAAAACACACATTTATCACTCACCTCTCTCTGTGCTCCCAAGGGAATGCAGTGCCACAGCACAGACCCAGAGCAGTGTGAACACTGGACATAGCACCATAACAAACCTGTGAGGGAGAGACACAGACACACACAGATATAACACCCTGATAAAAACATGACCACTTCGGCAGTTTCACTCAGACCTGATGAGCTTATATGGTCATGGACATTCAGTTGTTTTTGTTTTTTATCTGTTTGGTGCTATGTCACAAGTATGTGGTGAATTTTCAAAATTCGTAGTACAAAACCCCAAACTGGTAACATTTGTAACGCATCAAGTCTCATATTCAAAAAAAAAATTCAAGTGCATTTTTTTTTTTTTAAGACCTCTTTCATCACACAACCATTGATCCAAAATATAAGTTTACTGTGAATTACCATGAAAACATTGATTTAATCACCAAAACACAACATAATGATATCTTCTCAATTTAGTTGTTTTAACAACCAATTAATCCAATAGCAATAAAATGCAGGACACATGTTTCAAAATTGCCCTTTGAATGTAATATGCTACAGTACTGTAAATGACAGTACATTACACTGTTTTCACATTAGGCAAAATACTTGCACTACCCTTACAATTGACTGAACATAACATTTCCATCCTTTCAAAGGTGTGATCATTGAAGACATTTTCCACAATAATTGATGCAAATATTCAAATTACTGTAATCAAATTAAACAAATTAAATAAACATAATGTTTAGCAGGCAGTAGTTTGCATCAAGCCTATCTTGAGCTTTTGGCCATAGGTTCTTATCGACATCGCATTTAATGTCCTCATTATTCACGCTCCTGGGGGAAAACCTATTGGAGGAGGGTGGTATGCTAATGGCAATGGTAATCATACATCTTCCACCTGTATTGTAATCATGTATTGTATTTTACAGTATTGTATTTTACAGTATTGTATTGTACTTATGTATTGTAGTGGTCTTGTATGTGGCTCAGTTCATAAGAGCATGGCACTAGCAACACCAGAGTTGTAAGTTCGATTCCCTCTTGGGTCACATATGAAAATGTGTGGACTCTCTGTTGTCACTTTGTATAAAAGCGTCTGCTATGTAAATGGCACATATTATGGTATTACAGTACTGTATCAAAAAGACCCCAGCAAATTCATTTTGGATGCGTGTTTACTGTATAGGGGATGCATTTGTTACATACAGTATATCTCTGATCTTGTCAATATCAGATTATTATTTATATATTTTTTTACTGTGAAGTAAAATCAGAATAGTCATAATCATAATAGTACATAACAGTATATATCATACTTTATATGTTTCTACTTTAGACATACATTTTCATTATGTAGTTCTCAAAATCTTTAGTAGGAAAACCTGTTTAAAATCTATAGGTTTAACAAATGGTTAAGTGATTATCAATTAAGAGCAGTGGGATTAAGTAACAGAAAAATGTATTTAACATATAAGAAGAGAATCATGTCAAAATGAATGTAAGCATTGCATTGTGAAAGGCAATTACTTTATATGAACATGCTTTGCAATGTGAATTTCTAGATGAAACACTGATTAAGTTTGGTGAAAAAGTGACTGTATGATTTTGTGTGTTGTACTTAGACAATTGAAAATGTGCTTAGAGTTTTGAAACAACTACATTTTTGATGATCTGTTTTGAATTTTGTACCAAGAGTTGTGAAAATGTATCACATTCTTGTGAAAATTGAACCAAAGCAATTGGAGAAAAAAAAAACTGTAACTGTCCTTCTACATCACGGATGGGCAACAACTCAAGGCACATCAGGACATCAAAATTCAACAGAGGGCCACATATTTAGTATTTTTTGTTCTACATACTTTCTATCAGGTTTTCTAATGTAGCCTTTAGTAGTTTTTTTAATCATGTCATTCCCTGGGCTTTATAGCTGCTGTAGAGGTTTTCTGAGGTATAGATCTAGGACCAGCTGACATACATCAAATCCTCACCCTATCCATTAGGGGGGTACCTGTCAGATTGACCTTGGATTAGTGTCTAGGGGCAACTGGATTATATACTCATGGGTTTAAGATAGTTGAGAAACACAAATACTAAATTGTCCCCTTAACATTGGACACGTCAAAAGTTCAAAGCACAAAACGTGTTTGTCTTAAGTGTTAATAAGGAGGTAGGAAAGAGGTTAAAAAACGTTTGTCTCATTATATCATGATAAAAGTAACATACCGTTGTATTTCTCTGAACGTACTCCTTGGTTTGGTCTTGATGCCGTTTAGTGTCAGAAGAAAGCGTGTTGACACACACTGTGAATGCCTGGGGAGGTAAAAGTGACGTTTATCATTACTGGAAGTCTGACACACAGGAAACTACAACAGCCACTCAGGGCCTGGTAGAAGACTTTAACAACACATCCTTTCTTCCTCTCCTCCTTGAAGTAGGCTGAGCCTACTAACTGCTATGACATGACAGGAAAGGGGAAGGGGGTGACCTAGTCAGTTGCACAACTGAATGCATTCAACCGAAATGTGTCTTCCGCATTTAACCCAACCCCGACCTATGGAATTCATACTTTTTTCACCAAGATCCATAATGTAGCCTACGTAGCCCTTTGCTTTCACCTATCCAGCTATATCAGGTCAGTGGCTAATGGCTACTTCAAGGAAGGGAGGAAGAAGGATGCAAAAGGACCTTAGGGGAATTCAGCCAGATGGAAATGATCTCAGATATGATCAATAGCAATGCTTATTTTTAAATTCAATACAAGTAGGGTGACGTGTTTTTTTCTTGGTCTGACAAGAGAAAATCTAAACTATTGTTACTAAACTATTGTTACTAAGCCCTTGTTTTTGTAGTACTATATGCTGTTAATTTTTACTGTAGTACTGTTATTAGTACTGTTATTTGAGTGAATTCAGAAAAAGTGGGACACTTTTTGCATTTCCTTCTTCTGCAACCTCTTCAGACATCTATCTATTCAGAAAGTATTCAGACCCCTTGGGTTTTTCCACACTTCGTTACGTTACAGCCTTACTCTAAAATCGATTTAAAAAAACTAAAAATCAATCAATCTCCACACAATACACCATACTGACGAAGCGAAAACAGGTTTTTAGACATTTTTGTACATTTATTAATAATAAAAAACAGAAATACCTTATTTACATAAGTATTCAGACCTTTTGCTTTGAGACTCGAAATTGAGCTCAGGTGCATCCTGTTTCATTGATCATCCTTGAGATGTTTCTACAACTTGATTGGAGTCCACCTGTGGTAAATTCAATTGATTGGACATGATTTGGAAAGGCACACACCTGCCTATATAAGGTCCCACAGTTGACAGTAAATGTGAGAGCAAAAACCAAGCAATGAGGTCGAAGGAACTGTCCATAGAGCTACGAGACAGGATTGTGTTGAGGCACAGATCTGGGGAAGGGTACCAAAAAATTTCTGCAGCATTGAAGGTCCCCAAGAATGCAGTGGCCTCCATCATTCTTAAATGGAAGAAGTTTGGAACCTCCAAGACTCTTCCTAGAGCTGGCCGCCCAGCCAAACTGAGCAATCGGGGGAGAAGGGCCTTGGTCAGGGAGGTGACCAAGAACCCGATGGTCACTCTGACAGAGCTCCAGCGTTCCTCTGTGGAGATGGGAGAACCTTCCAGAAGGACAACCATCTCTGCAGCACTCCACCAATCAGGCCTTTATGATAGAGTGGCCAGACGGAAGCCACTCCTCAGTAAAAGGCACATGACAGCCCACTTGGAGTTTGCCAAAAGGCACCTAAAGACTCTCAGACCATGAGAAACAAGATTCTCTGGTCTGATGAAACCAAGATTGATCTTTTTGGCCTGAATGCCAAGTGTCACGTCTGGAGGAAACCTGGCACCATCCCTACGATGAAGCATGGTGGTGGCAGCATCATGCTGTGGGGATGTTTTTCAGCAGCAGGGACTGGGAGACTAGTCAGGATCGAGGCAAAGATGAACAGAGAAAAGTACAGAAAGATCCTTGATGAAAACCTGCTCCAGAGCGCTCAGGAACTCAGACTGGGGCGAAGGTTCACCTTCCAACAGGACAACGACCCTAAGCACACAGCCAAGACAACGCAGGAGTGCCTTCAAGACAAGTCTCTGAATGTCCTTGAGTGGCCCAGCCTGAGCCCGGACTTGAAACCGAACATCTCTGGAGAGACCTGAAAATAGCTGTGCAGCAACGCTCCCCATCCAACCTGACAGAGCTTGAGAGGATCTGCAGAGAGGAATGGGAGAAACTCCCCAAATACCGGTGTACCAAGCATGTAGCTTCATACCCAAGAAGACTCGAGGCTGTAATCGCTGCCAAAGGTGCTTCAACAAAGTACTGAGTAAAGGGTCTGAATACTTATGTAAATGTTATATTTCAGTTTTGTATTTTTAATACATTTTCAAAAATTTCTAAAAACCTGTTTTTGCTTTGTCATTATGGGGTATTGATGAGGGGGAAAAACAATTTTATCAATTTTAGAATAAGGCTGTAACGTAACGAAATGTGGAAAAAGTCAAGGGGTCTGAATACCTTCCGAATGCACTATATTAGCCCAACACATTAAACATTTCTGAAATACTCAGATGTTTCCTAAACACACAAAATTGAATTGAATTGTCATTGGGGTACAATTAAGACGGTAATAATGGTGTCCCAGTTTATACAACCTACAGTCTACCAAATGTGAACTGAAAATATGGTTTTGACTCAGTGTACACAAATGGGTGTGTCATGCCCATTGTAGTATGATATCAATATTACATGTTTTTTTGTGTGATTAGGAAACATCTTGAGGATTTCAGAAATGTATCATGTGTTGGCCTAATATGTTGGATAGATGTTAAAAGAGTTTACAGAAGACCGAAATGCAAAAAGTGTCCCACTTATTTGGTTTGTCCCGATAGGCGAAACCCTTTTTGGTGCTTGGCTGAACTCTTTGCAGAGGGTTCTATCTAGAATTCATAGAATCTCCTGTATATGGTTCTACCTAGGGACCCTCTATAAAGGGTTGTGCCTAGAATCAGCTATGAAGAGTTCTACCAATAACCATTTTATCATCTAAAAGGTTCTCACCTGCAACCTGCATTCAGAATGACTGCCAGGATAAGAAATTTGAATACTGAGACTACCTCAATAATCTAAACTGGAACAACCATCTCAGTAATGGGTGCAATAAGTAATGGGTGCATTTACTAACAGATTGGTTTCATAAAAATAAAAATGGAAAGTTATTTATCTTTGTGTAGCATAAAATTAATCAACCAATCAATGTACATGCAAAAACAGATATTAAAACAAACAATTCTGAAAATCACCCTGCAATAGAGCATGCTGGGAAATACTGTATGATTATATGCTTCTATGTAGCAGCCCTCTTGGCTTCGAAAGAACCCTTCTTGCCTTCCAAAGAATAATCAAAGAACCCTTTCTTCCTAAAACAGTTCTTAGGATGTTAAAGGTTCTAGGTAGAACCATTTGCGTTTAAAAGAACCCTTGTCTTCCAAAAAGGGTTATTCAGATCAAAACGGCTCTAGGTAGAACCCTATTCTTCCGCAAATAACCCTTTTTATAAATGTAAGCCCTAGGCTATAACATGCTGAAAAACACTGAAAAAATAGTTGTAACAAAGAGGTGTAACCACAGCTTCTAAATGTATCCATCACCTTTCCCAAAGTTGAGGAATGCAAGCCTAAGTGTTGTTAAAATGTTACAAGCAGGCAAATGCTGTACTTTTGATTGAGTGCGCAGGACTTTTGGATGAAATTGAAACGTTCCCGGACAGGGAATCGAACCCGGGCCGCGGCGATGAGAGCGCCGAATCCTAACCACTAGACCACCAGGAAATCCAGTCAGTGTAATTACAGTGCATACTTTGTTGGTTATCAATTCTCTGTCAATCTTGGTAGGTAGATAGCGGAAGTCGATATTTGGCTTTTGCGAGGGAAGAGAGGAGCAGAAAGGAGCGCGCGGCGACTACTGAATTATATCATCAACCCAGTCAGCGAGCGAATCACTTTTAGTAAGTCGTATTAGCTACTTAGCTATCACGTCGTTATTGTGAAGATTACTTGTTGACTTCCGCAAAACTGCATGCTTGCTCACTGCAAGTTGACACGAAAGTAGCTAACGTTAGCTATCTAGCTAGGCTGCTAACCATGCTTGCACGCGCTAACGTTACTTACTACTGTACTTTCTACACTAACGTTAGCTATCTAAACGTATTATTATCAATCAATCAATCAATTTTATTTTATATAGCCCTTCTTACATCAGCTAATATCTCGAAGTGCTGTACAGAAACCCAGCCTAAAACCCCAAACAGCTAGTAATGCAGGTGTAGAAGCACGGTGGCTAGGAAAAACTCCCTAGAAAGGCAAAACCTGGGAAGAAACCTAGAGAGGAACCAGGCTATGAGGGGTGGCCAGTCCTCTTCTGGCTGTGCCGGGTGGAGATTATAACAGAACCATGCCAAGATGTTCAAAAATGTTCATAAGTGACAAGCATGGTCAAATAATAATCAGGAATAAATCTCAGTTGGCTTTACATAGCCGATCATTAAGAGTTTAAAACAGCAGGTCTGGGACAGGTAGGCGTTCCATAACCATTACTTTATCCTATCCCAGGTATTCCTTAAAGAGGTGGGGTTTCAAATGTCTCCGGAAGGTGGTGAGTGACTCCGCTGTCCTGGCGTCGTGAGGGAGCTTGTTCCACCATTGGGGTGCCAGGGCAGCGAACAGTTTTGACTGGGCTGAGCGGGAACTGTGCTTCAGCAGAGGTAGGGGAGCCAGCAGGCCAGAGGTGGATGAACCCAATGCCCTCGTTTGGGTGTAGGGACTGATCAGAGCCTGAAGGTACGGAGATGCCGTTCCCCTCACAGCTCCGTAGGCAAGCACCATGGTCTTGTAGCAGATGCGAGCTTCAACTGGAAGCCAGTGGAGTGTGCGGAGGAGCGGGATGACATGAGAGAACTTGGGAAGGTTGAACACCAGACGGGCTGCGGCATTCTGGATGAGTTGTAGGGGTTTAATGGCACAGGCAGGGAGCCCAGCCAACAGCGAGTTGCAGTAATCCAGACGGGAGATGACAAGTGCCTGGATTAGGACCTGTGCCACTTCCTGTGTAAGGCAGGGTCGTACTCTCCGAATGTTGTAGAGCATGAACCTACAGGATCGGGTCACTGCCTTGATGTTAGCGGAGAACGACAGGGTGTTGTCCAGGGTCACGCCAAGGCTCTTCGCACTCTGGGAGGAGGACACAACGGAGTTGTCAACCGTGATGGCGAGATCATGGAACGGGCAGTCCTTCCCCGGGAGGAAGAGCAGCTCCGTCTTGCCAGGGTTCAGCTTGAGGTGGTGATCCGTCATCCATACTGATATGTCTGCCAGACATGCAGAGATGCGATTCGCCACCTGGTTATCAGAAGGGGGAAAGGAGAAGATTAATTGTGTGTCGTCTGCGTAGCAATGATAGGAGAGGCCATGTGAGGATATGACAGAGCCAAGTGACTTGGTGTATAGCGAGAATAGGAGAGGGCCTAGAACTGAGCCCTGGGGGACACCAGTGGTGAGAGCACGTGGTGCGGAGACAGCTTCTCGCTACGCCACTTGGTAGGAGCGACCGGTCAGGTAGGACGCAATCCAAGAGTGAGCCGCGCCGGAGATGCCCAGCTTGGAGAGGGTGGAGAGGAGGATCTGATGGTTCACAGTATCAAAGGCAGCAGACAGGTCTAGAAGGACAGAGCAGAGGAGAGAGAGTTAGCTTTAGCAGTGCGGAGAGCCTCCGTGACACAGAGAAGAGCAGTCTCAGTTGAATGACCAGTCTTGAAACCTGACTGGTTTGGATCAAGAAGGTCATTCTGAGAGAGATAGCAAGAGAGTTGGCTAAAGACGGCACGCTCAATGGTTTTGGAGAGAAAAGAAAGAAGGGATACTGGTCTGTAGTTGTTGACATCAGAGGGATCGAGTGATGGTTTTTTGAGAAGGGGTGCAACTCTCGCTCTCTTGAAGACGGAAGGGACATAGCCAGCGGTCAAGGATGAGTTGATCAGCGAGGTGAGGTAAGGGAGAAGGTCTGGAGAGGAGAGGAGGGGATAGGGTCAAGCGGTCAGGTTGTTGGGCGGCCGGCCGTCACAATTCGCAAGATTTTATCTGGAGAGAGAGGGGAGAAAGAAGTCAAAGCATAGGGTAGGGCAGTGTGAGCAGGACCAGCAGTGTCATTTGACTTAACAAACGAGGATCGGATGTCGTCAACCTTCTTTTCAAAATGGTTGACGAAGTCATCCACAGAGAGGGAGGAGGGGGGAGGGGGAGGAGGATTCAGCAGAGAGGAGAAGGTGGCAAAGAGCTTCCTAGGGTTAGAGGCAGATGCTTGGAATTTAGAGTGGTAGAAAGTGGCCTTAGCAGCAGAAACAGATAAAGAAAATGTAGAGAGGAGGGAGTGAAAAGAAGCCAGGTCCGCAGGGAGTCTAGTTTTCCTCAATTTCCGCTCGGCTGCCCGGAGCCCTGTTCTGTGAGCTCGCAATGAGTCATCAAGCCACGGAGCTGGAGGGGAGGACCGAGCCGGCCGGGAGGATAGGGGACATAGAGAGTCAAAGGATGTAGAAAGGGAGGAGAGGAGGGTTGAGGAGGCAGAATCAGGAGATTGGAGGGAGAAGGATTGAGCAGAGGGAAGAGATGATAGGATGGAAGAGGAGAGTTAACGGGAGAGAGAGAGCGAAGGTTGCGACGGCGCATTACCATCTGAGTAGGGGCAGAGTGAGTAGTGTTGGAGGAGAGCGAGAGAGAAAAGGATACAAAGTAGTGGTCGGAGACATGGAGGGGAGTTGCAGTGAGATTAGTAGAAGAACAGCATCTAGTAAAGATGAGGTCAAGCGTATTGCCTGCCTTGTGAGTAGGGGGGGACGGTGAGAGGGTGAGGTCAAAAGAGGAGAGGAGTGGAAAGAAGGAGGCAGAGAGAAATGAGTCAAAGGTAGACGTAGGGAGGTTGAAGTCCCCCAGAACTGTGAGGGGTGAGCCATCCTCAGGAAAGGAACTTATCAAGGCATCAAGCTCATTGATGAACTCTCCAAGGGAACCTGGAGGGCGATAGATGACAAGGATATTAAGCTTAAATGGGCTAGTGACTGTGACAGCATGGAATTCAAATGAGGAGATAGACAGATGGGTCAGGGGAAAAATAGAGAATGTCCACTTGGGAGAGATGAGGATTCCTGTGCCACCACCCCGCTGACCAGATGCTCTCGGGGTATGCGAGAACACATGGTCAGACGAGGAGAGAGCAGTAGGAGTAGCAGTGTTTTCAGTGGTAATCCATGTTTCCGTCAGCGCCAAGAAGTCGAGGGACTGGAGGGTAGCATAGGCTGAGATGAACTCTGCCTTGTTGGCAGCAGAACGGCAGTTCCAGAGGCTGCCTGAGACCTGGAACTCCACGTGGGTAGTGCGTGCAGGGACCACCAGGTTAGAGAGGCAGCAGCCACATTTTACATTTTAGTCATTTAGCAGACGCTCTTATCCAGAGCGACTTACATATTATTATTTTTTATACTGGCCCCCTGAGGGAATCGAACCCACAACCCTGGCGTTGCAAACACCATGCTCTATCAACTGAGCTACATCCCTGCCGGCCATTCCCTCCCCTACCCTGGACGACGCTGGGCCAATTGTGCGCCGCCCATGAGTCTCCCGGTCGCGGCCGGCTGCGACAGAGCCTGGATTCGAACCAGGATCTAGTGGCACAGTTTTGCACTGCGATGCAGTGCCTTAGACCACTGCGCCACGCGGTGTGAGGCATTTGTATAGCCTGTGCGGAGAGGAGAGAACAGGGATAGACAGAGGCATAGTTGACAGGCTGCAGAAGAAAATGGCTACAATAGTGCAAAGGAAATCGGAATGAAATGAACTAAACATCTGGGAAAGGAGAGAGCGGGGCCTCACTCACCACAACACCCAAATATAACTCTCCCAACTTCCACCTCAGAAACTATAATTGTTGTAAACTACAGCGGTTCAATGTTTTCTAGGAAATGCAGTTATGAGGTGCGCAGACGACTAAGGTTAACCCAACTGGCAGATGGCGCTACTATGCTACCTACCAAGGAGTCCATGGACTGCAGTGGCTTAGCTCAAACTTCATCTGACTGAGATCTACTACGGAAAAGCCAGAGACAGCGAGACACCTTGATGAGACCCCTCCCTCAGATGACTAGTCAAGCCATGAACGACTTTGAAGCGCTTTGAGATTCTTTGAAAAGTGCTATATGAATGTAATAAATTATTATTATTCCTTACGTTGTTTGTCATCTGCGTCCAACTGGAGTCTATGCACTCTACGGCCTTGCAGCCTGAATGGAGGATGTTTTATACTGAACCAAAATATAAACGCAACATGCAACAATTTCAAAGATTTTGCTGAGTTACAGTTCATATAAGGAAATCAGTCAATTGAAATAAATTAAATAAATTAGGCCCTAATATATGGATTTCACATGACTGGGCAGGGGGGTGCAGCCATAGGTGGGCCTGGGAAGGCATAGGCCCACCCACTTGGGAGCAAGGCCCACCCAATGGGAATTAGTTTTTTCCCACGAGGGCTTTATTATAGACAGAAATACACAGAAATAGACAGAAATACTCCTTAGCACACTCCCTCAAAACTTGAGACATCTGTGGCAATGTGTTGTATGACAAAGCTGCACATTTTAGAGTGGCCTTTTTTTTGTCCCCAGCACAAGGTACACCTGTGTAATGATCATGCTGTTTAACCAGCTTCTTGTTATCTTGACAAAGGCTAAAATGCTCACTAACAGGGATGTAAACTGATTTGTGCACAACATTTGGGAGAAATAAGCTTTTTGTGCATATGGAACATTTCTGGGATTGTTTATTTCAGCTCATGAAACATGGGACCAACACTTTACATGTTGCATTTATATTTTTGTTCAGTGTATGTACGAGCCGGTCCCCGGGGGTCACGAGTGTATAGCCGGCTGCATAGACTCCAGTTGGACGCAGACAGAGTGGAAGAGGCGAAGCGAGAGGGATAACTGGGCCTAAAATCTGTCTTCTCCAGCAGGTGGCTTCTTTTAATTTTTTCGCTCACCAAGCGAGGATTTTTGTATGGAGGTCAATGAGTGTCGAATTTGGTTAACAAAAAAATGTATGGCTTATTTGCTACGTGTGGCTTATTTGATCGACTAGAACTTTCGTAATGATTAGGTTGTTACGAGTGTACTGATATAAGTAGGACGTGACATCACTGCAACTAAGAAAAAACACTTTATATCGGAGTTGTGCCTGGTCGTCACTAGATCCCACAGCCACAAAGTCATAAACTCCGCCTATTTCTAAAATGTATCTTCTTAAAATGTGATTTTAAACCTAACCCTAACCACACTGCTAACCTTATGCCTAACCCAAACTTTAAATTCAGACCAAAAAGCACATTTTTGTTTTCATGATTTTTTACGACATAGCCAATTTTGACTGTACGTGGTTGTGGTAACTGTTGTGCCTGTTGTTCACATGCATATATAATATGCCATTTAGCAGACGCTTTTATCCAAAGCGACTTACAGTCATGCGTGCATACATTTTTTGTGTATGGGTGGTCCCGGGGATCGAACCCACTACCTTGGCGTTACAAGCGCCGTGCTCTACCAGCTGAGCTACAGAGGACCACTCATTATATATGCCCTCTCATTGACTAGAATGGTCCCACCTGATATTGCCTCCTCCCGCCTGTATTCCATTTTTGAAGTCATTTATTTTCATTGTTAGAGCGGCCACTAGAGTATCTGGTCGATATAATGGATAATCTGTGACGCACATAACAAACGACGTAAAAGGAATAACTGCGCCATCTGAAGGCCGGTTGGGCTATACTCAGGATACTTCAGCATAAATTGGCTTGGCCGTTGAGATGCATCTGGGATATTATGTTTTATATCATCAACACTCCTTCTCTTTCTCTCTCTAAGGTCCATCATGCAGACGCTGAGCGAGAACAAGACTTTGTTAACGGAGATCCTGTCTGCGGACTCCAGCTACATCCTTCAGCATGTGCAGCAGGAGAAAATAGTGACTCAGCGGGACTACAAAAACCTAAACATCCCCAATCAGTCCGATGAGAAGACTGTCATCAACCTGCTGGATAAAGTGATGAATAAAGGAGATACAAAATGCTGTGAACTCGTGAACCTGCTGCAGAAACCACATATTATAGACAACTACCCTAGACTGGAGGAAATATTCAACAACCACCCAGCACCCAGTGACCCCACCTTCAACCCAGCCCCAACAGTTCCAATTCCCTGTACAGGTACCACACACACTGACTACTAGTACTACTAGCTTTGCACCACGACTCTGTCATTGTTTACTGACACAACAACCAGACAGTACAGATTACACACTACATGACTAGACTAATTTACAGATCAATCAACTGACATCAGTGCTACTGTTCTACTGTATTAGATAGCTGGTATCAGGTATCTAACTGTGTTTTCTGTGTTTTCTAGATACTTCTGACCTGGAAACAGTGGTCACTATTGGCGATGAGGTGATAACCCCTCAATCTACATTTAAAGTGTTTATTAACTAAATATATTACACCTGACAACTGATCATACAGTTCAGAGCAATTACACAAGGCAACAATATACAATAATACACAGAACCAAAACTTAACCTGTCTTCTCATCGCAACACAATTCTCCTTCAGCACACACAGCGAACACACAAAGCCTTATTCGCCAGTCAATGAAGGCTCCATTCAAGCCAAACCTAATACTAGGAAAAGTTAGTTTTACGATTAGGGCTCTATTTATACAAACCTAACGCAGTGGTCAATCTATACGTTGGCGGCAGCGCTATAAATTCGGGGGTGTGTCAGAAGTATTTGTGACATTTTCACACCCACAATTATGGGGCGGTTGCTGTCCGTGGCGCGAAAGGGCTGGGTTTTAATGAATAAATATGTTGCGGTGTGTCTAGGCATGGGCCCTCTATGGCCAATCAGAACGTGTGCCATGGCTAAATATGTGGTTGCTTAAAGTTGTGTATTTATGGTATTTTATGCATTGCGTCCAATTTGAATGTTAGTCCGTTATAGCCTATTTCGTGAAATAGCCTGCCCCATATTTGCTAAATATGTTGAACATGTTTGCAGTTAACATTGTTCTAATTGTATTGCTTCAATATGGAAATACATTGTCAAACATAGGTTATAGCATTTCCACTGATATAGGGGCTAGCCCTGTAAATTGCAGTCTAGACATGGACATGCCAAACGTAGTCAATCAGCAAGATTGAATTCACTAGGCTATTGATAAGGCCTAAAAAGACAGGGTATAAATTAGAATTAAAATAAAAACGAAACAACTTGTTTTTAAATAGGCTATGTCTAACTACAGTTACACGCACTATAATTGCTCCCCGTAGGCGTATTATACAGAAAAGGCAACTTAGACTATGGAGGGTTTTATGCGCATCCTAACTTTTCACAGGAGCTGGATACTGTTTCAATATAAAGAGAAAGTGGAAATGTCCATTCACCGTTATACTGCTCGCAAATGTAATGTTATATAAAACATCATGGAACCATTTTACAGGGAGCAGACGAAATTGCAATGCATTCGAGCCATGTAGCCTACCGTTATCACCATAAACCCATGGATGGTTAATATTTCTAATAAGTATGGTTTGTAATCAGGTTAAACAAAATACAATCTGCTTTTTAAACCAACAACAACATTTCTAAATAAGATCGGGTCAGAAGCCTTATATCATAAATGGCTTCTCTCGTTCCATGGCACTGTGTGCACACGTAAGCCTAAATGTACGCATAACATTCGCACGTCAATACAAACTACTAGGCTCCTGTCAATTGTATGGTTGCCTATGTGCTAGGCAGATTCTCAAAGAAATCCGCCGTTGATATGGCATTATAGGAGGATTAAATAGTTTGTAGGAGCGCGCCTGTCTTTGGTAATCGGACATGGGGTGCTCTTTGAAAATGGGGATGGATAGCCACCTCGAACTAGCGAAATGAAGTATGCAGGTATGTGAATTGTGAATAATTAAAAACCATGAGGGCACTCTCAGTAGGCCATTTAAAACCCCTTTATTTATAGGCAAGTTGGTTAATGGCCAGAATAAAAAGACACCTATTCACTTTTGCGGGGTTTTTTAAGGACACACCTCAAACATTGTCACCCCTTCCACCTCAGGGCAAGTGCGCTGATATAAAGTAAATTGCCAGTGCATCAGTTTTTACATGGCGAAATTAAAGACTAACGTGCCCTTTCAGTGTGATGTGAAATGGCCTTTGTGTGTAAATGGTCTCCTCGGTTTCCAGGTCAGTCTGTATGAGATGACCAGTGTACCCCGTGGTCTCTGTTTGATCATCAACAACGAGATCTTTGATAAACTGCGTGAAAGAACAGGAACAAACAAGGATGCTGGTATGTCAACGTTTTATCCTCAAAATCAAGCCTAATTTCTCTATTACAACATCTGTCCAGCTTGCTCTTTTGCTGATTCAGCTGATTATCATGATTTGATGTGATAGATTGAGGATACAGTGAAGTGAGAGGCCTCGTTGTTAAGTGTCTTGTCTTCTCCTACAGTGGATCTGGCTAACATATTCAGCCGGCTGAAGTTCAGGGTGGTGATGTGCAAGGACAAGACTGCAGTGGAGATTCCCAGTGTGCTGAAGGTCTTCTCTGAGCTGAAGAAGTTATCTGATCTGCAACCGTACGATGTGAAGGAGTGGATTGGTGGTCAGTTCACTGATCTAAAGGATCTTCCTAAGCATGGCGATGCCTTCGTCTGCTGCATTCTGAGTCATGGAAAAAAGGAGGGCGTCTATGGCACAGATGGAACAGTTGTCCCCACCATTGATATCCTCTCACCTTTCAACGGCACAAACTGTCGCATCCTTATTGAAAAGCCCAAGCTGTTCTTCATCCAAGCGTGTCGAGGGAATGACGTGCAGGGGGGCGTGTCGGTGAACAAGAAGCGTAAAGTTGAAGGGACAGACGGGGAACTGCACACAGACGACGGCCAAGTCCAAGACTACACCCTTCCAATATACTCAGACTACCTGGTTTTCATGGCCAACGTAGAGCAGTATATCTCTATCAGGAACCCGAAATGGGGGTCCTGGTTCATCCAGTCTCTGTGTGGCCAGCTGGAAAAAGGCTGCAGCGGGTAACATCAGCTTGAAATTCACTGCAGAGCTATTGATATCGTCTCTGTGGAATGACTGTGTTGACTTCTTTTATGTTGTGTGTGTTTGTCTCCTGTTCTCTACAGAGGGAAAGACATCCATGCGATCATCACCCTGGTCAATGCTGAAGTGAGCAAGATGGACGGTAAACTTCCTGTTAAGGATAAAGATGGGAAATTGATTGGCTATGAGAAGGTTAAGCAATCACCGGATTCCAGAAACACCCTGACTAAGACACTCATCTTTCCTGCTGAGACCACGCCTACTTCATAATGAACTTTTGATTTGTTCATGAAACCCTTCATCTGTCAACCGTCCATATGCTCATTCTACTTTCAGATGAAGGTTTTGATATGACGGGGTCCTTCCACACAGGCCGTGAATAGGCCTAATCATATGACACTAGCTACATTCCAGTTGTGACTTTCTCATTTGATCACTTTTAAATGATGAGACAGGAACCACCATCACTGTTGGTGTCTTTATTTACCAGTTTGTTATATTTACATGAATGTGATATTTGATATTGTTTAGTTTCATGTAAGGTATATAAGGCAGCTGGGACGATGCGCCATTTTATGTTATTGATACAGAATATCACCAGGGATATACCAAAAGTGCAGTGACATTGCTGCAGCTTAATCAACAAAACTTGGCTAGATCGACTTTTAACCAACATAGCAATGTATTTGATATGTGAAGATAGAACTCAGAATCATCATTTTATGTAATCAGGTGGTTTCATAGCAAGAATAACATTTTATTGATATCTCAACCCATAGTTTCAGCCTTACTTTCAACCATGTTTTTATGTGATCCCATCTACTTATAATGTAAATATAACAAACTGTGGTCCTCTGTAGCTCAGCTGGTAGAGCACGGCGCTTGAAACGCCAAGGTAGTGGGTTCGATCCCCGGGACCACCCATACACAAAAATGTATGCACGCATGACTGTAAGTCGCTTTGGATAAAAGCGTCTGCTAAATGGCATATTATTATTATTATTATAACAGACTGTTTTACCAAAATGTTTTCTTACCTGCCTTTCCTGTCACCTCTAAATCTTTTATACCTGAAAATAAATGTTTATCTTTTACCAACAGTTGGATTGCAGAAGTGTTTTTATATCATACTCCTCAGAATTAATCAGCAATCCTGTTGAATTTAAAAATGTGAAACATGTAATAGTCAAATACACACCTATTTTACTGGCCTTCTCGTGTTCATAATACATATTTATGTAGACAAAGTCAACATTTTTGTAATTTTGTGTTTAATGGATAGGACACAGTCTACAGAGAGAGGAATACAAAATATTGCGTATAGGATTTGCTTTGAACATAATTTGACTAATATCTACAGTAAGCTGGGCGCTTACTGCGATTTCCAAATCACTTTCCGGGTCATTGCAGAAATGTAATGTTGGCAGAAATCAGTATACGCGGGATGGCAATGGAAGGTTTGCGCGTAAACTGGCTTTAATTTACGCACGCTCAGAATACATTATATTTTTTATTGTCCATTAATAACATGCAGTGGAATAATAGGTCGACGATTGGTCAAGAACGGCCTATTAAACGTGACTTCATTGAATGCGTACATGTATAGCCTATAGGTGTTACATAAGACACTAACGAAAGTGAAATTAAACGACAAACAAGGTGACACGATCTATAGTAGTCTAGGCTATCTATTCAAGAGGCATCAATTGAGTTGAGAGACGGCGTTTTACTCCAAGGTAGGAAAAGGTATCGTGGTCTAGGCCTAAAAATAGTAAAGTATATTAAACTGAGTATCCTAAAGGAGAAAAAAAATCATTGTTTTTTGTGATATCGCCGGCAATGATGACTATAGTGGAGTTCGACTTCTATTAATCTAAAATAAGAAACAATACAAGTATTCCAGAAAAACAAAACCTTTAACTACAGTTTAATTACAGGAATTAAATTGCCTCTAATGTGATGTCTTAAAAACGAAGGATATTAGTTTAGACCTGGAGGGCACATGACACAGCCACATGGATGGTTAATTTCTAGAATGTTACACTATAATCTGTTTTTAGAATGGTACACTAGAATGTTACTCTGTTACACTTTTCACTAGAATGTTACACTATTAATTTATAGAACGTTAAGTAAGGGATAATCAACGAGGGGCTATGCGTTCTATGGAAGATAATGAAGGCCGTGGAAGGTGTGTTCCACCAAGTGCTAGCAGAGTGAAACTGATCTAGTTGCTTTATTTTCCAGAGAATGCATAGAGCCGCGAGTTAATTATCCCTTTTATACAATGGCTATAATTGAACACATTTGCCACATTTGTGTTCATTTTGCCGGTAGAAATGTGTTCAACATCAACTGAGGTAGCTAGCAACTTTACTTTACTGGCGATCTACTCCGATTTCAGAGCACTCTCGTCTGTGTGCCAGAGGCAGAGCGCCGAATAACTGAGGAATTTAAGAATGATCAACACCCGTTGAATATGGCCAGTGTCAGTAAACGTCTGCAATAAAGCGTAATTCAATTGTTGCCAGCACCACAGTTACAGTCACCAACGCTCAGGATAAAATGAAAACACCCTAACCAGCTCTGCTTGTGCGAGTAAAATGGTCAGAGCAGTGGCGGTTCTAGACACATTTTACTAGGGGGGCCAAGGAGGGGCCAGTGTTTAATCAGGGGGGCACACATAAAAAAAACTGGCAACACATGATATTCAAAGATTATAAACTTTATTTTACTTTAAAATCATATGACATTTATTATAACACGTATGTTGTACAAGAGTGCAGATGCAAGAGAGATAGTGCCATAAAAAATAAAAAAAATTAAAAAAAAAAGTACAGGGTACAAATACAGGGTTCATATTCAATGTGAACAAAACTCCAGGATACAACAAAGGGTACAACAATGTGCCATTTCCTATTTATGGAAGCCCCACTACTGTGGACAGTTGATTCCACATTTTGTTTTAAGAAAGAAAACTTTCTGAGTGATTTATAAACAAAACACACTACCCTGTATCCATTTAGGTAAAATAAACCAAATCAGAAAAGAAATTCAATTCAAAGAGGCTTTACTAGCATGACCATATTGACATACAGTATTGCTAAAGCACATAAACAGGGAAACGTGTTACACATTAACATCCAGTAGTCCAATAGGATGCAGACAATAAACATTAAGTTAACATTCGTTTAAAAGCAACAATCATGTCAACACAATGTAGCAATATGAACAACACTGATGGATATCAGCAACAACATGAAAACAAGAATATTACAGGTGTCTGTGTGTGTGTGTGTGTGTGTGTGTGTCTGTGTCTTTGTGTACTTCACTGTCAGTTGATGAGCAGGTGTACAAAAAAAGGCTTTACAACATATATGGGCAAGTCCATTTAGGACAGCACATTTCCACCATAGTTCACATTAGGAAAAAATGACAGCATGAATGCTCACTAAACAAACATATACTACATATACCTTTTTATACACATTTTTTTTCAGTAATTTTTTAAGAGTGAAAGGGAAGTAAGCAATCGCTCATCATAGGATCATACATATTTCAGTTACAATATTAGTTACAATATTAGTGTTAGTTAGATCATCATGTCAAAGCTGGACCTGCAAAGTCTGAACGACACAAGTGTGCAATGATTGGAGTGATTTTGTTTCTTTTTTTTCTTGCTTTGCTTGTTTTCAAAAGGAAAATCATAGTTGGTAAAGAATAAAATAAACTTTTGTTGAAAGGTATCACACTGTATAATTTACAAATATCTAAAGAGGTTTAGTGGATGCCATAAAACATCTGTGGAGCTTGAAGATTTGTAGTACATAGATGTTTGGCAGAGATAATTCAAAAGAATAAAATCATAAACTCTATCTATCTATCTATCGAGAGAGAGAGAGAGAGAGAGAGAGAGAGAGAGAGAAGTGTTTCCTTAGAGCAGTACATGCAGCAATCACTTAATGGAGTGATGTCATAATGGGCCACAAAACTTTTTTGTTTGCTGGGGCAAAAAATGACTTTATGTCCCTTCCTCGTTTCATGATAACTATTAGAAGAAGAAAAAACGTAGGGGCATGCATTACATTTTGTTACCTAACCATCCCTCCCTACTTAACACTGGCAGATAACCTGTTGATTACTTTACTAAAAATGTATTTGTTATCGCGATGCAACAGCCAAGACGGATGAAGTTACGTGGTTAACATCACAACATTGTGTAGACCTAGCAAGGATAGCCTACTAACATTTGGATATTTGCTTCTGCTTCGATGAGTTTGCTTAGATATGATTACATTTCTAAACAAATCGAGACCAGACATTTAAAAACTTGATTTGATTTATGTGTGAGGAACAAAAGGAACATGTAGGCTATGTGCAAGAACAACAAGTCACTTATGATATTAAATCTTTTTTCTTACCTTCGACTCCTGCAAATCGTAGCTCCTCTCGCAAATAGTAGTTGCTGAGCTCTCATTCACCGAAGCAGCACCACACGTGGCAGGCAGGCAGATGGCAGGATACAGTTTTTGGGTGCGCCACTCTAATTTACCCGTGTAGAACGTTGCCGTGTAGAGCGTTGCATTAGTTCCGCTTTTGGCGCTCGCGTGTAAAATAGTTATAAATTCATAATTTTTTATTTGGTCAGCACGGGGGGGCCACAGGGGTGGCCAGGGACATTTCCAGGGAGGCACGGGCCTCCCCCGGCCTCCGTGTAAAACCGCCACTGGGTCAGAGTGAAGTGTTCTCTCATTTGTGACTGGAAGTAGCTAGCAAGCTAGCCAACGTTAGCTATTTAGTTTGGGTGCTTGACTGCCGTTGTGAGGTCAGAACGCTAGGATGAACCCTACTCCTCGGCCAGAGCGTCCAGTGTGCGCTCTAAACGCTCCTTAGCGAAATGCTCTGAATTTACAAACATTCAAATCTGACAACGCTCAACATTTACGAACGCCCAGAGCACACTTTGGCACTCAAGATTGAATTTAGAACACACCATATATAGATAACTACAGTAGTTGCCGTGGTAACCAAACAAACAGATTTGCTAGTTTAGCTAACCAAATAATCTGTCCTAGTTTGCGATAAAAATGTATGCACACATGACTGTAAGTCGCTTTGGATAAAAGCGTCTGCTAAATGGCATATTATTATATTATTATTATAATGAAAATAGAATTCAACAATGCCAATAATGTTTTCAATTCGAATTTTGCTTTCAAAAGCAGCTCAAACATAGAACATGTAAGAATGAACTATAGCCATTGAATTCT